TGCACGGTAGTCTCACTGAGTGTAAGGCGGGCTTGAATCTGGTTGGCAGCCTTCTGTGCCCCTTTCAAATATGTCAGTGCAATGGGTATTCAAAGTGTCTTTAATATATTCACATTAACATCCTATTGAAAAGGTGTCAAAGTAATTGCGTGGCTCGTTTGTTTCCTGTCATTTGAAGAATCTCCTTTGTGTTAGAGGCATTCACCTCAGGCTGGTTGATGCATAATAAAGGGACAAAAGAACGGTTGCACTTTACATTGCGGCCTTTTTGGAGAGAAAGGGAGAGGCAGGGTCGCCCTTTGCTTCTCTCATGCAAAAAAAGTTGATCTTTTGGACTCAGAACACTTGGAAAACTGGAGGTTGGCCAGGGCCTTCAATAGGTCAAGATTCCAGAGGATTTCGTCAACGCCGTCCAACGAGTTGAAAGTGTATGGCGTTGCGAGATTTCACTTGCAGCGAAGGGACTCGATGATCTGAAGACCTGTGGTTATCAGTGCACTTCTGTCAGATCCAAATCGACAGAGGACTATCGCTTCGCCAATGTAGCCCAGTGATCTGCAGCACTGAATGCTTAAGATGCCTTGTGATACCTGGGAGATTTACGCCTTTGCCATATTCCTTGGTTATATAGCCTTGACTTCTTTCCTCTGCCCTTTTTCTCATTGTTGTAAGCAATACTTCACGCCCGAATTGAACTGGTTCTGGTACCAGCCCTAGTGTAGATCTTACGGTCAGGGTAAAATACAAATAGAGCTTGTGGATTTGTTGTTTCTTTAGAACTGAATGACTCGAACTTAGGCTTCTGAGGAAAAGAGTCGCAGTTTTTGTGCGACTAGGGGTAAAACCCGAATTTGAAGGCCTCCAGTCCTAGATGAAGTGGCACGTAAAGCTGATCGGCAGTAGTAAGACGAATGATGCACAGTCAGTTATCTCACAGTCTAACACATTTATCAGTGACGACCTCGATGGTGGTGATTTTTGGGCCATAGACATGGTAATCATCCATGTAGACATTCAGTCAGCACGTGAAATGCCCGTCCCATCCCGTTGTCCTGGAGGTCCGGTGGACACATTAGTTCTCATTTCCAGGCTGATATTTTGTAATAGCTACAAAGATCTTTAAGCACTGAACTAGAATGTCATGATAAGCTGATCAGCAGTAGTAAGTCGATTGCTGTACAGTCTTGTGCCCCCTGAAGACTTAAATACACCTGTCGGTGACGATCTCGGTCTTGGTGATTCGCAGTACACAGACCCAGTTACCGCCTGTGTACACTTTGATATCAATTAAAGGAAGTCCATTAAAATGTGTTTTAGTAACCATGCACACCGTGGTGGTTACGTTCCCAACCCACAACCATAACAGTCACCTCTGTGCCATCCCGTCGTCCTGGACGTTTGATGGATGCGTCAGCTCTAACTTCACCAGATTACACACGACACCAGTAGTCCTACGAGAACGATGACCACATTTACTCACAAATATTTGCGAATCGGATAGGGTAATCGTTCCAAAATCGGCACAAATAGAGTCCTTTGCTTTTGACCAATACAGGAGGGCCGAATGACGCGGTGAAGTAGACTGTCCTGAAACGCTTTTGCCCTACGGGCAATTCCTTCTTTGTTGTGCTTCAAAAATATTGGTCAAACATTGGAATAAGTGTATGATTAAAATGGGTAACAACGTGGAGGAATAAATGTAAGCTACAATTCTTTAAAATTGCTCATCGGCTCTGAAGTGCAAAATCGCAATTCTGTCTGGAAATTCCTCTTTTATAGAATATCATTACATTTAACACCTACAAAACATGCATTTTTAAGCAGGTATGAATAGAGTAATAAACTACAAGTGCTGCCTACTATTTGGAGGAATAGTGTCTAGCCTCCACTACTACGAGAGGCAATGCAGCACACTGGCCCATTAGCATCGCGTTTAGAACCGCCACGGGTAATTGGAAAGCTAGTTTGTAGTAGGGCGGTTGGACATACAATAAGCCCATTCATTACTGCCAAGGAGGTGAATGCCTCCAAAAAGCCTATGATTGGAATAAAAATCATGATCTACACACAAAATTAACAAGCCTATTTTATAAAAATCTAGAGATGAAACACCTAATGCTAAATTTAGAATTCACTTCGGTCTCTACCGCAACAGTACGCATGTCTTATTATTCTACTCTAATCGCAGTTGCCCATTTTGTTACTTCTTTGATATAAACTTAATTCATTATATATTGCATGTAGTTTCAAACAAAAAATTAAAGCGAGTTAAAGGAAAGCTACCTGCAAGCACCACAGATGGTAGACCAGAGTCGCGAAGGCCAGAGTGGATTCCAGACTGTCCCATGGTCCCAAATCATATGTGCTCTCATCACCAAATGCACATTGCAGCAAACTAAGAAATGGCACTAGAACATCCAACTCATGGCACAGATAACACACCCAATGTAAGTTTGCATTTGCACTTGTATGATAAACACATGCTGGCTTAGTCGACTTCATACTCAATACCATGCTAAATTGGATGCAACAACTGCAACTGCGAATGCAATTTCCATGTATGGCTCTCTCACATGCATCGACTTACTTTGCTTCGCATTTTATTGCCTTTTACATACAACATTCAGCATAAAACCTGCTCACAACGGGTCGGTAGACTAAACTGTTTTCACAAAAATGCAAAGCATTCTCCTTGAGGATATTTGCCTAAGGCGTGTCTTTAGCACAGCTGCGGCTTTTACGTAGCATAACCCAGTATAGGAGTCTCATCACATTTCTTACATACTTTTCATCTGGTGGCTCTCTGCTGCTGCCGCTGCTCCCTTAGCATTAACAACCCCGTAAATTATGATGCCCAGTAATGAATTGAGTAAATGCTCAAGACAACTGAAATGAGTAGCATTTATTTCGCTTCGAAAGCAGGGAAGTACAAGAGGCGTGCTTGCACACCGTCAGCTAGCTGCTCCAATTCCAAGGAAGTTGAAGACTTTTTCACAAACCACAGTGCAAACACAAAGATAGTCGCGGTTCCTGTCTACCACGGTTACGGCCATCCCCACGACTGGCAACATTGCGGCTTCT